GAAGAGCTATGAGAAGCAGCCATCCCGCGCACCAGCGACACAATCCCACGTTTGCCTAACAACTTCTGCCGCCTCCTCAGAGCTTCCACACACTGCCCCCGCTCGAGCGCCGATCTGGCTTCCACCCCTGCTACTAAGGAGACATATGCAGACCCACCTCCCAACGCACCTGATTTTCTAAGTCATCAGAAACTTTGGGGATCTGTACACGCAGCACCTCCTGGGTCGAGACGTGCTGGCACAGACCCCATGCACGCAGGTACGCGCGCTCCAAGCAGTCCTACTGGGCGACAAACTCAGCGCTGAGCAGGTGGCAGACGCGCTCTCTCCCAGCTCTCCTGACCCTCCCTCCCACTTCGTTTCCTGCCTCCATTATGAAACAGTGACAAACCCCCTAAAATATCTAGGACTTAAGGAAGGCTCCAAAATCCCATCCTGGCCAAGTAATCTTTTTGGGGATGCTCTGATAAAAGGAACACGCCTGCCTTTACTAAGCAATTCTTGCAGAGACTTTTTCTTTAAGAGGATACGGTGCCTTTATCCGGCACTTTTTTTGGTTGAAATCCAGTCCAGATTCTCAGCTGTCAGATGTTATTCAGCTGCTAGGGTAAAATAAGTTTGGTGATCTCAATACAGTTTACAGCAGGCAGATGTCTAGAGCTTAAAATTAGCTGTCATATTTGCCACTGGACATACGATACTCTCCCCTCCCTTCTTCCAGGACTTGGAAGAGAAGCCAAATGCTACGTGGGCCACAGAGCTACATACAGGGTATACCTCCCCGTGCGCTTTAGAGACCCTTCCCCCAGGTTAGGTTTCACACTCTGAGTGAGAACACAGAGTGAAGAGAATACATATATATATATATAATTATATATCTTACATATTTTGAACAAAAAGTGGGTAGATTTAGATATAAGGCAGAAATGTTTTACGCTGAGGGTGGTGAGACACCGGCCCGGGTTGCCCAGGGAGGTGGGAGATGCCCCATCCCTGGAAACATCCCAGTTCAGGTTGGACGGGGCTCGGAGCGACCTGGTCTGGTTGGAGATGTCCCTGCCCGCGGCGGGGGGTGGGCCTGGATGGCCTTTAACGGGCCCTTCCCGCCCAAACCAGTCTGTGATTTTATAGAGATATTTTACATCTCTCTCCCCAATTCGTATCTAACAAACACTGTGATCATCTTCTGCAGCTAGACAGCATCACGCTGACCCTACCGCAGAACAGGGAGCGGCACAGCACACCACGCAACACATTTCTCTGCACATCAGCACCCCCCACTGAACAAGGAGTGGGTTTACTACTGGCTGCAATATAGAAACGAAAATGAGGACGTTTACTCACAGCATGCCCCAAACCAGGGAAACCTTGAGTCTGTACATGCAAATACCTGCATGGATAGTCTAAAGACTCACCTAACGAAACATAAAAGCAAAGGTCTGCCTCAAGGCTCTCACAAGAGCAGACAACAGTGACATAACTGACATTTAATCCAGAAGGCGCACAAAACCCCCACGCCATCCTCTACGCACCCCAGAATGTTCCCAGTACCTGAGGACAAACTCAAACATGGAAGACCAAAAGCCACAGGAGCCAAAATATGCCACAAGAAATC